CTGCATTTTCAGCTTTTAGAGATTGCCTTCTTTTTAAAAGTTTGATTTTCTTTTATAATTGTCTAAAATATTTACTTAGTTCCAAACCCCCAATTTGTAAAATCAGGCATATTCAAAGAAGTCTAGCTTCCATCACTGACTTTGCTATTATAGTAACGAATTATTTCATACTTGTTTGTTTACTTCTAAACTTACATATAGAAAATTCCACTTTTTGTGGGGTACAGTTCTATGAGTGTTGACAGATTCATAGAGTCATGCATCTCCCACTGCAAATAAGACACGGCTGTAGTCACACTTGTCCCACCCCATCCTCCAGCAATCTCTGATCTGGTCTCCTGTCTCTATAGCTTTTCCTTTTACAGGATGTTATATAAATGGAAGCATACAATATGTAGCTTTTGAAGTCTGGCTTCTTTTACTTAGCAAATGCAAATCTCTTAGCCAGGGTGGGCCAGACTTGTTTTTTTCAAACAAGATGCACACTAAAGCTTGAAAGTCACTGCTTTAAGGCCTGTACAGTTTAGAATTCAGGACTGCCCAAGCCTCAGGCCTCTCCACACCAAGCAGACTGAGTAGGGTGTGCCAGCAGTGACTGATGTGTAAGTGGCCACAGATTGGAACCTACTCTAGGGCTGGGCCCAGTGCCGGGCCCAACAGTATCTATGGGAGGACAGCAGAGGAACAATGTCCTAACGCCATCTCAATCAAGAGCACAATGGCTTACCATGCTCCATTCTGTGTTAAACCATTTAGCTCCACAAGGCTTGAGGTGGCAGGATTGTTGGCTGGGGGGTCTCTCCAGGAAGGAACATTCATAGGGGTCCAGCACTTCAAAGGTGTCTGCGTTCTTCCTAACACAAATCACCTCCCTCTGCTGCGTCCCACTGCCACACTCTATGGAACACTGGAGAAAAGAAGCAGAGAAAGATGGGTGTCACGTGATGGAAAGGAGACGAGAGCTACTGCCCACCCAGGGATGTTTATGATGGACATCATCGATCCTACCACCAGTTCAGTGAGGAAGAACCCAAGGGAACCTGGAAAATGTTTCTGAAGGAGAATAAGTAAGTGTGTAGATTCCAATTTTCCAAACTGTCCTTTCTCCAGAATTGAGAGCAGGTGCCCTGAGTTGTCACACCTTTACGATGCTGCTAAGATCACGCTGCCTTCTGAGCTGAGAGTGAAATCACTTCCCTTCCACTCCCCTACAGTAACACACCAGCCAATTAATTTGGCTATTCCTGTCCAGTAGACAATGAACTGATGCTCTGGTTTTATCTGCTAGTCTCTTAGGGGGTGGATACTGTGAATGATTTAGCCTCCCAGAGCTTGCACACCTGTGGATGGAGGGCTGATTAAAATTCTTTGATCACACAAAGCTGAGAAGACAACTCCAGACTTGGGACAATGTCCCCTGGGGTCAATTCTCCCCTCCCAACAGGGAGGCCAGCAGGAACTTTGACCATGGAGTCTAATCCCCTTGTTCCCTAACATGGTGCTGAAGCTCACACCCTGGGGTAGTGCCCACAAAGAGGCTAGTCAAACAATTCCATGTGCTGGCACATTTCGTTAGTTTACAGAAATAAAGCATATAAGTGTTTGCTCACAAATTATCCTATTTAGTACACATTACTTTGTAAAATGTTTTTGGTTCATGTTTGGTTTACTAAATACTTTTTGATTAAAAAAAATTAAAGCTGTCATCTATATACAAAGGCACTTCAAAAAGTTCACAGAAAAATGGGATGAAAAGATACGAATCTTTCTATGAAGTTTCTGAAGACCTCTCATAGTTTTATGGACTTTAAAGAATCTACTACCTTGGGCCGGCCCGGTGGCGCAATGGATAGTGTGCCGCTTGGGAAGCGCGACGGCGCTCCCGCCCGAGGGTTCGGATCCCACATACAGACCGGCTCCCGCTCACTGGCTGAGCGAGGCGCGGGAGCAACGCCGAGGGTTGCGATCCTATTGCCGGTCCCCGGTCCGGTACGGGGGCAGGGGGGGGGGTTGTGATCCATTGCCGGACACGGAAAAAAGACAAAAAAAAAAAAAAAAAAGAATCTACTACCCTATTCCTTTATGAAAAACCTATCACAATGTCTGTAGCTGAAACTTTTAATATTAGTTTTGCTGTCTGTATGCAGCCACAGAATCAAATCAAAACAGGGGGAAAGAAAAATACCTATCTACAGAAAAAAAGTAAAAAAATGCCCAAACCAGCAGACAATGCATTAGTCTCACGGGGCGTTAACAGCTGTAGGCCACCACCATCAGCCATTTCTGCTTTGTCTATGCCTTCTGTTTTGCCATCTTCATAGCATCCAGAAAACTACACGATTTCTTAGTCTGATTTTACTGTTTTCTTCCATCTTAGTTTATGTATTGATCTGGAATATATTCATGTTTTATCCTTTTCTTTCCAATGCTGCAGGCAATGGAAGACTCAGAAGTAGGAGAAAAGCTACAGGCTGGGACAGGCAAAGGTCTGGCCTCTCCCGCAGGAGGAATGAGGATGTGTGCTGGGGACGGGGAGGGGCAGGGCAGAACACTGGATCGAAGTCAGGAGACATGGAGACTAGTCTCGCTGGCGTCACTAAAGAACTCTGCATCTTTGGCCAACACGTTGCACTTCCCTAAGTCTCTGTTGTCTCACCTGCAAAGTGAGGGGTTTGGAAACATGATCTGAAAGACCCCTCAGTGTCATGAGATTTTACATCTGTACTGAGCGTTTGGCAGAATTGCAGAATGCAAACCTTGATCAAAACCTGAAGTTGTCTTCTGCTATTTTTGGAAAGTCCTTGAAGAGATTAGGTAATTAAGGGAGAATGAGCATTTCTCAGCCTCCTCCTACTGTAAATGCTGAGAAGCAGCAGAATATGGGTGTCTGGGAACCAGGGAATGAATGTCTATGTGTGTGGGAGCGGTATTTGTTTGTGTGCGTGAGACAGCATTTGAAAACAAGAGAGGGCATTCATCCTTCGTGGGCCAGAAATCATGGGGAATCTTTGAATGGTGAAAGACAGATGAGATCAAATTAAAGGAGAAAACCAAAATGGAAAATGCACATAAAGGTGGGCCCCGGGATGATGAGTGATTAGCCAAGTTACTGGCCAGGAGCAGCCAGGCTGTCCTGACTGTGCCAAGGAAGAGGAAGCAGTGCGGTACCTGCCTCTACCAGGAGCACCCACATGAAAGGGAAAAGTGAAGCCATTTTCAGATACTCAAGGGCTCAGAAAGTTTACCTCTTATGAATCCTATTTGAAAGACTTACTTGGTTACGGTCTCTTACAAAATGAAAAAGAATCAGAAAGAAGACACAGGATACAAAAGCCAAAGTTGGCAAAGACACCAGGAAAAGCTATTATTAATAATGTGTACCAGGTTTCTTTTGGGGATGATGAAATTGTTCTGGAATTAGAAAGTGGTGATGGTTGCCACTTTCTAAAACCACTGAATTGTATACTTTAAAAGGGTGAAGTTTATGGTATGTGAATTATATTTCAATGAAAAATAACCTGGGGTTGGAGGGCGGGAGAAAGCTATTTTAAAATCTAAATCAGTATTTTCTATAAAATGAATGAACATTAATCTGGAGTTTAATCCAGATGATCTTTTTGCAGGTATTGTAGATTGAGAGAGTGGAGGAAACTAAAAGGCAAAGACTTCTGTTTTTTTTTAGGAGAGGATGTGGTTACTGGTAACTTGACACTGATAGAAACAAATGTATAAAATCCTGTGCTAAAAAAATTTGAGTGTTATCATTAGAAGATAAAAATAAGATTTATAACTTCTAAAACATTAGAGGTGAAAAATGAAATAAAAAACCCTGACCAATAACAAATGTGTGGAAAAGAAAGAGGAAAGAAATGAGAAACCACAGCAATGCAAAAACACAAAATAAGATGGCAGAGAAAGGTTCAAACATATAAGTGATTACAAAAAATATGAATGGTTAAAATTTAACTCTTAAAAACAGAGATTTGTAGACTGGGTAAAAGAAAGACAAAGAGAGTCCTGTATACAAAAAACACACCTTAAAATACATAGTTTGAAAATTAAGACATGACAAAGGTATACCAGGTGAAAATCAACAATCAAAAATCAAAGATGGAGTAATGCAAATATCAGATAAAATATAATTTATGGAGAAAAGAAGACCAAGTGACATTTAATAGTGATAAATGTTTCCAATGAGAAATAATGACAATTATGCATGTTTCTACACCTAAAGAACTTCTGCAGTTGTGCTTTGATGGATCACTGATCCAAGGTCAGATGAGAAGGGCAATGTCTGCTCAGAAGCTGGTGGGAATAAATGCAATCCAGACCCATGGCAGACAAGAAGGCTGCTCCTGATGATGAGACCTCCTAGAACTAAGACAATCTGAGAGCAAAGTAAACCCAGAATTGATAGAGAAGGGAAATAATTCTGGGCACAATCAGTAGACTTGGTGGAAAACCTTATAAATAAGAATTGTGTTACTTTGCCTCCAGAATAGAAGATGACTCTCTAAATTTGATACACTCCTAGTTAGGTTACAGGGATCTGGGGAGCATTGGGGGGGTTTTTCATAAGCCTCAACATGACCACTGCTAGCACCCGAGCTCACAACTTCTTAGTGAGTCTCTTCCCTTAAACCCAAATGAAAAGTCCCAGGGGAGGACTCTGTTTGGCTCAGCTTAGGTCACATGCCCACCGGTGGACTAATCACTGTGACCAGGCTGTTGGGGTGTTCAAGATGCTAACTCTCATTCAAACCACATAGTTGGAAGGAACATTTATTTTTATATTCTGAATCAGTTAATGTTCAAGACTTACCTCTCAAAAAATAAGCATGCTCTATTTCATTTTCTTTGGGGATAATGTCAAATTCCCAGGGCAGGCAAGTGCTTTCAAACCACATAGTTGGAAGGAACATTTATTTTTATATTCTGAATCAGTTAATGTTCAAGATTTACCTCTCAAAAAATAAGCATGCTCTATTTCATTTTCTTTGGGGATAATGTCAAATTCCCAGGGCAGGCAGGTGCCAGCAGACTCTGACATCCTAATAAACCCAGAACCAAAACCTCATCCACATTCAATTATGTCCTCACCCTTTTGGATGACAGGGCAATAAATCCTTCATTTCTAATCTTAGCAGAAATAAAGGCTGCCTTCACCAGGGTTCGAACCACTCTTAGTACGCTGAGGTTATGCCTAAAGTCAGATGGAGGCCCATATGCAAAAAGGGCCCGGAGTCCTGCTCCCTTCTCTTTTGAGAACTGTAGACATGTGAGTTCAATTGTACTGCTTTTCTTCACTGTGTGCGAATGTTACAATCTGATACTATAGTCTCACACAGGACTCTCCCTGTTGCTATAATTTCACATGCTCCCTTCTCTTTTGAGAACTGTAGACATGTGAGTTCAATTGTACTGCTTTTCTTCACTGGGTGCGAATGTTACAATCTGATACTATAGTCTCACACAGGACTCTCCCTGTTGCTATAATTTCACAGATATTTGGTATAATTGGTGTCCCATACACAGTCATCTCTGAATTATCTTTGGGGCTAAGGCTGTAGGTATTTTGCCACCAATAATGAGATAGAAACTGCTGGTAGAAAAAATAATAAACTTAGAGAGAAGGGTATTAATATTTATTAAGTACTTTGCACGTCCCAAACAACGGATAACTTCCTTTATGTACAGCATCCTATGAAAACCTCATAATAATCCAAGGAGGCTGGTATTATTATCCTCACATCCAGATGAGGAAACAAACTCAGAGCGGTTGACTTACTTGCCCCAAGCCAGAAAACTAATGAGAAGCAGAGCTGGGATCAGTTATCAAATGTATCTAAGTTTGGTATTCACTAGAGTAGCACTGGAAGTATGTGACTTCTCTCTTTCTGAATTCGCTGTACTTTACAGGTTTAAGAACACTAAAGGAAATTTGAAAAGAAAACACTTCCCCATACTATTGACATAAAAAACTGTATTTTGAAGTAGCAGAGAAAATAGGGCTCATATATTTTCATATTCTATTTTTCACTTGCCATTATAGACTGCACTTTTCACATCTTCCAAATGATCACGGTCATTATTACATTATGTTTTGCTGAGTTATGATATACCATAATATCCCTAACCATCCTGCTGTTATAAATGTCTCTGCTGAAAAAGTCTTTTTTCTTCTGTTAATTATTTCCTTAAAATAAATTCCCAGGAGTAGGGTGGCTGGGTTAAGGCAAATGAACATTTTTATAGTTCTTGACTTTTATTGCCAAATTGCTTTCCAAAGGGCTTGTATCAATTTACAGTGACAAGGCAGTCTATTTTTTCTCAGGGTCTGTTTTTAAAGCTACTTAAAAGAAATAAAATTCTATATGGAGCCAGAAGTCCCGATAATGTGTAAATCATGATCATCAGCCAAAAAGACCTTGAAGAACAAGCCAGCCCCAGGAGCCAAATGCTAAGGGGCCCAAGAACTCAAACACCAATGGTAATCATTACAGGGCCAGAAGAGGAGATGATCTTTTCCACATTTTCTTAGGGGGGTTCATGTTCAATTTTGGAACAGTGAGGAAAAAATAATTCATCAGTTAATTCAGTTACTGCATTAAAGTATTTGGTACTATCTGCTCTTTATAATGAGCTCCAACTTTTTAAATTTTTGCTTCTGACACTGTCGAATAAAGACAAAAACTGGCTTTATTAATAGTAAAAATAACAGCAGCAGCAGCAGCAGCAGCAACCATTTATCGTTTACTGTGTGCCAGGCACTGTGCTGCATACTTCATGTACATTATTTCACTCCTTCTAAAAACAACCTGAGGTGCTGTCATTGCCGCATTTAATATACAAGGAAACCATGCTAGACCATAAGCTCCCTGAGGGTAGGGATACTCATTTTGCTCATTGGTATAGCCCAAATGCTTAGATGGCACATAGTAGGTGCTCAGTGAATACTATTGACTGATAAGGCTCCAAGAGCGTAAGTGGCTTCTCCAGGGTCATGGGTAGGCAGTGGCACAGCTGGGATTCAAAGCTGAGACACCTAACACAAAGTCCTGGTTCCTAACCCTCTGCCATGCTGCCTCTTGCCAGGGACAGACAGACCATCCTCTGTTCTGGTCACTTACCTGACTCCAGCTCCCAGCGAACCACTCCACCTTGCCGGTGCAGGGCCCATTGTCACACGGGGTGGCCTCTGCCGGCCGGTTGTTCCCACAGCCCTCCAGAGGCAGGCTGCTGACGTGGTTGGTCATGCACACCACCGAGCGCGTGCGCACTCCAGCTCCACACTCCGCCGAGCACTGCGAGACAGGAAGAGGGCACATTAGAGCAGAGGTCCCTGCGGGTTCTGAAGCCACTTTTAAATGATGCAAGGGAAGGTGGCATGCCTCAATTTCCTACCATCCCTTTCCCCTGGAAATATCTAACAACTTCTCAGTCATGGCCTACTCCATTATGGGATATCAGATGGCAACTCCCCATCTTAGATTTTCTGGGACAGTCTTCATTCAAAATATCCTGCCCACTGCTGTGATTAATACACTTGTACTTGTCAGACTATTTTTTTTGGCTTTTGTTTTCAAAAATATATTCAGCTGAAGAAGACTGAGTGCATGCAAACCCAGGTGGGCAGGGCTGGGAAAGGAGGGGAATTAAAGTCTGTCACCTCAATATTGCTGCCTGATATTAAGGCAAATGGTTCCAGTCCCTGAAGGCAACAGCCGTGAGAGTACAAGTCCTTTAGAAGCTGCCTTATTTTGCTTCTCACCCTACATTTTCAAACATTTTCTGAACAGCCTCCTCTGGTGTCCCCCAGATACCCTGCATCCAACATGTACATCTTCACCACCATTACCATTCCACATCTTGATTTTTTTTTTTTTTAAAGATGACTGTTAAGGGGATCCCAGCCCTTGACTTGGTGTTGTCAGCACCACGCTCTCCCAAGTGAGCTAATTGGCCATCCCTATAT